AGAATAATAAGAGTAATGTTAAAACTAACTAGCTGCTGCCATTGTTGGAAACTGTGCAGGGCTGCGCTATGAATTCTCGACTATTAAATTAGTCGTCGACGATTTTGATAGTCGACGTAATCGTGACTAGTCGACTAATCGTGGCAGTCCTACTCTGAACCGCACACAAATAATTGAACTATTAATCTTATTCTAACGGAAAGCCCATCACGCTCATATTTGTTACTCGTATCCTCAATCTTTTTCTTTCGCTTATAAAAGAACAACAATAGATTAGCCCAAAATTAACAGATTAATGGAGTTTCTCAACAATGATGCACCAAATGGCAGCACATGACTGTGACTTTACCATCACTTCGCATCTATTAAAATGATAGCAATTAGGCTAAATGATTACTACGTCTTGTACTGACTAGTGACAATAGCAACGATTAGTTGCTTGGTTAACAAGTCATGCACATCTCTTATTTCATAGGAAAGAAGGATAGTGATTCTGCTCCTCTTTAATTGTAAACTACCAGGTGAAAAGTTGCTACAAATGCTAAAGCAGCTGCTACTGTTGGCAAACACACACTGTCATCCACCTGATACATGAAGACTAATTCACAGCAAAACACTCTGAAGTCTGGGCTATCATCATATACACGGAGAATAATACATGTGTTTTTCCATAGACATTTGGAATTGGGTGAACAGACAAAAAACAACGACAAAAAAGCAAAACAAAAAAACAGAACCACTATTGGCAAGTTTAAAAAACATAAAATAAAATCAGTCAAGAAAAAAAAAAAAGGAATTTGTGCATCACTGAAGTTCAGTCACTGCTTATATTTTCCTAACAACCAGCTAACCATTTTGCTAACCAGAATGTGCACCAAATCAAAAACAGGTTTGCATGTCAGATGTTGGGAGTTTATCCACGAGAGAAGCCCTCACTGGAAACACATGCGATTATTGCTCCATTAATTTTGTCACAATAGAATATTTAAGAAATTAAATTAATTTAAGAAAGCATGTAAGTGCCTCCTTTCATGCGCACACACAAGTGCATAAATGCGCAAATTAGATATTTCTGTTACTGCAAAAAATTAAATCTAATAGTGTGGGGAAAATTCTGGTATTTGGCAATTCTGACCAATCATTCTTGAGTTATGTTATGTTGCTTACCACATCATATCCAGTGGGTGCTCTATTCCTAGAGGCTACTACTCCGACTCCAGTGATTGGGTCCATTGGCATCTCTGGCAAAGCTTCAGAAAGGTCCCGAACCTCAGGCATCTTTATAGAGATCTGCAATAAAAATCCCCACAGATGACATTATTGGAAAACAGGCACAGAAAGTAGGACAATGAGGGAACGGGAATAAACATCAGGATTGATTGGTAAGACATGTACTTTTCTCTGCTGTTCATACAGGGTAAATTCTTTTACTCTACTTACTGAGCTCCGATCTAACCGTTTTGAACTTATAGTATGGAATTATTTTTTGTACCATAAGTCACAAAAGGGAAAAAATATAATCCGAGCAAATAATTTAATTTCTTGGGCACAACTCTGATATGAATCCTGCTTGCTTAAATCATTAGATTTTTGACTGTTTGGAGGGGGAGCCCAAAGAAAGCAGGTGTCCTAATGTGACTGGTCACTTTCATGGACAGCTCAGGTTACTGCATTAAGTGGAGTTACATTGTTGCAGCATCCGCCCCCCAAAAATCTCCACTGTTTTATTTTCCAAGCAAATATGATTTAAAGTTTTCCAATAAAGACAAAAAAAGGCGACAGAAAGTGGAATGGCAGCCGTCAGCAAGCTGCGCATTTTAAACATGGTATCAAGTTAACAGTTCAGCTGCATTTTTTAATGCAACTTCTGCAGCTTTACCAAGGAGGTTTCCTGTATAAAACAAACAATTGTGGATGGAGCAACTACAAAGTTCACTTTTCTTGATGTTGGAGTTTGTTGATTAGGTGGTTTGATGAAGGACTCCGCCTCAACCCAGTATCAGAGAAATGTGTAATAGACACACCTCACTCCCACTTTTTCCCAGTAAAGGTTTTAATGGTGATTACAGGAATGGTTCTGCATGCTAGGAAAAAATAAAAAACCTCTTTCTAATACACAAGTACTTAAAGACTATTTAAATTAAGTAGTTCAAGCTCTGTTGAAGGAAAAGAGACAGAGAGTCAGTAATTAAAAAAATATACCATTATCAAATTCAATCAGGAGGACACATTTGCTAGCTTTTGACCTTTTGTTGGACTCTGGTCTTGGAAGCTGTTGATGAGCTGCCCTCCATGGATCACTCTGCAGGTCGTGCCCTCATATGAGCCCTTGGCCATAATAATAATAATAATAATAATAATAATAATAATAGATTGAATTTATATAGGGCTTTGCGAGACCCTAAAAACGCTTTACAATTCCACTATTCATTCACTCTCACATTCACACACTGGTGGAGGCAAGCTACAGACTGGGGCAGACTGACAGACTGTTGACCATGTTGGCTGGGATGCCGTAGTATCAGAGGAGTTTCTTGGTCCACACTGTCAAACACAACTATGACGCGTAGCACTGCGGTCTAATCTGTGCTTGATCAATTCTGTCGGAAGCCTGCTTGCTCATCCCATAGTAGCGACCCGATTGAAGACCTTGTCTGTTACTGACAGGAGTGTGATGCCCCTGTAGTTGTTACAGCTGCTGAGGTCACCCTTCTTGGGGAGCTTGATTACATATCCCTCTTTCTACGCAGTTGGTTACTCCTCTTTTTCCCAGAGCTTCTAGACGAGTGTATATAGCAACTCCACTGGTGCTTCCAAATCTGCTTTCAGGGCCTCTGCTGGTATATCGCCAGGTTCAGCAGCCTTCCTGTTCTTCACTAGGGTGATGGACTTCCTGATCTCTTCTCTGGTTGGTCTGCTGCAGTTAATGGGGAGATATTCGTTGGCTGGATTGATGTCTGGTGGATTTGGTGGTGCAGGTCTCTTCAGGAGATCCTCAAAGTGTTCAGACCATCTTTTCATCTGCTGCTCTAGTCCTGTGATGGCCTCTCCCTCCTTGTCCTCGTTCTGGCTTGCTGTGCTTCCCACACAATTTCTTGCTTGTGTCGTAGAGCTGCTTCATGTTATCGTTGTATGCTGTCTGTTCAGTGTCAGCTTCTAAGTCCATCTATGTAGTTGTTCTTATCCATCCTAATGCTCTTCTTTACTGCTCTGCAGGCCTCTGCATATTCCACTTGAACCTTGCAAGAGGTGACTCTTGGTCTTCCTTTCCTTGGGTGGTCCTCGTGCGAGCCAGGCTCGTCATAGCACTTGATGGAAACCATTTCAGGTGACTACATCATGAAGCCCTTGAGAGATGAGAGGAACAATAGGGGGTCCAGGATCCTCTTAGGGACACTCCAAAGAGTGCTTAAAAATCTGCTACTCTCCACCTAATGGTCTTAGAAGACGCTTCTCGGATGAGGGGTGAAACATCTTCAAACTTAAAGGAGTCCAGATGCTTTTCTTTCCAATCTCCTGAGATTACCATGAGATATAGTCTATTATATACAGTTTAAATAGTACAAACTACAGAATATTTTATTTTAAGTAAGTATATCACTTTACCTGTAATGCAATATGTAATATACAAAAGTTTAATTTTCATGAACTCAAAATGTGGATCAAAGTCTTGTAATCAAAGATATGTTAAGAATGGCATCATTTGAAAATGATGTTCTTTTGGGTCTGCCATGTTTTTAATATATATATATTTTTTTATATATATATATATATTGGATATGCCACACACTTGTTTTGTTTTTTTAAGTTAAAGCTGTCATACCTGTGACTGTTCTTGGTTAGTTGTTTTTATAGTCACAAAGTCTATAGAAACAAAGTCACTATCTAGACTTTGTTTCTGTAATTTGAGATCATCACATATTTATTTTACTTTTTTAAATACATTATAAGCACAAAATAGCACCTTTAAATTTAAATTGTTTTATTTTGCCTCATGAATTCTTGCTTGATGTAATGATCTTTTGTTTGTTAAAAGTCTTACCACAGAAAGAGACTTACTGGGACAGTATTGTCATTTCCGAACAACCTCTGTGTGCAGCTGATGGTTTAAAAAAATGGTTTAAATAAAACATTTAAATTCACTCAGATTTTTTGTATTCAAAGTAAAAAAAAACAAACCCATAACATAGTCACACACACACAAAAAAAAAAATCGCCCAGCCCTAGCTGCAACTTGCATAGTACTTGCATAGTTTTTTTTAATTGTTGCAAGTCAGATAATAAAATCTATGAATTTACTTTCAATGACAAATCTTGGATCAAATAACACATTCAGAAACTCGTAATTGAGACAGAAACCATTAAGCTATACATATCACACTTGGCCATAATTTGAAATGCACATAGTTAACACCATTATATAGTCTAGTTTTGAAAAAGCGCATTTTTATATTTTGATCATGGCATTATCCTCACATAATTTATTAGAAAAATACATTTTGTGATTATGTGAATTATTTATCATCAATACATTTAATTTTTTTGTTCACCCTACCGCTCCCATTTCATTAGTTTGAAATACACTTAATTTTGAAACTGCTTGCATTATGTTCTATAAGAGTTTTGTAGGACATTTCTTTTTTCCCAGATAAGTAGAGACTGTACTGGGGCTCATCTTAGATCATTTTAGTAATTGAGTATCTATTATTGCATCAAAAATTGAATAAGAAATACTTTGTCTTATTAATGAGCAGTAATAAATATTCAAAAGACAAAAAACAGGTCTTTTAAAATGTTTAAATAGTTCACCTCCATATAAGACCTTACAAATCTCCAAAATATTGTATCTAACCAGATGCGTATCTTAATGATCTTAAAGTATGGTATCACTGTATTAGAGCACTAACTTACAAGAGCCAAGATATACCAAATCGAATCAAAAACTGTGACCCCAAAACTGTGCTATGAACAGAACCACAGATTTTGTAAACTGTTCCATCCCCAGTAGATGTCAATAATAATAATAATTATAAATAGTAATTCAGTGTCTCTAAAGTTAGAAATATCCTGTCTCAGAGTGACGCTAAAAAACTAGTTCATGCATTTATTACTTCCAGGCTGGACTACT